TTGTGCTGGTTTTCCCAGTGTTGTGTACTGTGGATATATATTAACCCGCCAATTTTTTTTTTCAAGGCTTTATTTATGTCATCCCATTGCCTTCTTGCGTGCATGATTTTTGCTGAGTAGTCTGAGCTTAGTTTTGTTGACTCTTCTTTATAGATAACTTTTCATTTGTCCGTAGCCGCTATTAAAATCCTCTGTTTATGTTTCGTGTTCAGACGTTTGATTATATGTCTTGGTGACTTTCTTTTGGGGTCTACCTTATGTGGGGTTCAGTGAGCATCTTGTATAGATATCTTGTCATCTTTCACGATATCATGGAAGTTTTCTGCCAACAGATCTTCAGCAATTCTCTCTCTATTTTCTGTTATTCCCCCCCACCCCCGTTCTGGTACTCCGATTACTTGTAGGTTATTCCTCTTGATAGGGTCGCACATAATTCTTAGGGTGTTTTCATTTTTGTAATTCTTTTGTCTCATTTTTCCTCAAATATGTTGGTGTCAAGTGCTTTGTCTTCAGTCTTACCAATTCTGACTTTTGTTGCCTCAGTTCTCCTATGACTTTCTGTTGTCTAATTCTGAAATTTTATTGTTAATCTTCTGGATTTCTGTTTGCTGTCTGTTTATGGATTGTTGCAGCTTGTTAAATTTGTCATTATGCTATTCTCTAATCTTCTTATGTTCCTCTATTGCTTTGTCTGTGTGTTCCTTGGCTTTTTCTGCATTTTGCCTGATCTTTCTGATCTCATGAAGATTTCTGTATATTATTCTTTTGTATTCTATCTCTGGTAATTCCAAGAAGTTCTCTTGCTCCGTCAAATTTCTTGATTCTTTGTTTTGGGAGCTTGCTGAAGCCATCACGGTCTGCCTCTTTATATGGTTTGATATTGACTTATCTCAGAGCCGTCAATAAGTTATGATGTTTATTTATTTTGTTTGCTTACTGTTTCCTAGCTTCTTGTTTTTTTTTGTTTTGATATGCTCAGATAGGCTGCTCACGTGAGCTAATTTGATTATTGGCGCCTTTGAAGCTCCCATGTCCTGTCACCAGGTGGTTAGATCTGTTACTAGGTATGTGAGATGAGAAGTCTGTTTGGTTTTCTTGTATGGATTCAGCTTAGGTGTCCAGGTAGTTGGTCCCCAAGTGCATGGTGCAGGCTCTCACCTACAGTCCTGGACAGGCAGGGGTGATTGGTGTAGGCACAGGTATCTAGCTGCAGTAGGCGGTCATGTGCTGAGCAAGGCAGGGGGCTGACAGCTGCCCCGAGTGGGAGGAAAGTGTGTCTCTGCTCCCTAAAGCACATGGGTGGGTTTTGCAGCTGGACTATGAGCACCCAGTGCTGTTGGCTGTAAGGACTGGGAGGCACCACTTATTCTTGGACCTCTGTTGCCGGTGGCTAGGTGGTATGGGTGGAGCCTCCGATCCTCAGGCCCCTGATGTGGGTAGGTGAGGACCCTGCCTAATAGGCAAAGCAGTGTCAAATGTCACAAACCTGTCACTTCACCATATACCTGATACAGTTGAAGTTAGGTTTCAGGTATATACCCTGTTGTACTGTGGTAATGAGGACCTGCGCTGTTGAAATGGGACCACACAGGTCTATGCAAGTGTGAAAGGGATTCAGGGTCCGGGGACCCCTTTATTCCTGTGCCTAGGCAAAGGAGCTGTGCCTACCTTGAGTTCCCAGTTTAGGCAGATTATTTTTTCCTGTATGTAAATTTGTTCCGTCTCCAAGGCCAGGAGAATGGCTCAGGGCACATGACGGGTCCTGCTTCCAGCCCAGGGGACTTGGCAATCACTGAAGCCAGTCCAGGACCTGGTACAGAGTGGGGAGAGGGCAGGTAAATGGGAGAGAGGTTTTTCCCATAGGGGTTGTTTTTTGATCTATGTTGTAGGTCAGACACATGTACATATCTTTTACTGACTGCGTGCCACTTTTCACTATTTCTGAAGGCCTGAGAAGACTCTTTGCCGCTCGGTCTCTCCCGATGTGGAAGATGCCTCCCTAGCACCACTGCTTGCCTCACCGCACATGCCAGCTGATCCAGCCTGAAGGGTGCTGGCTCCTGCCAGGTTAGGTCTGGCAATTCTTTGCTGCTTCCGAACTGTCTCTCCCTCCCCCACCACTCAGTCCAGTTCCTCAACTTTGCCTTTCATGTTCAGGGCTTCTGGATGGTCATATATAATCAATTCACTTGTTTTCTCAGGTCTTCGTTGTGAGAGGGACCACAGGGTGTGTCTCACTACTTCGCTGTCTAGGCCCCACCCCTTTTTGTTTTATGTTGAAGTGTAACCCATACCAAAGGCTGTGGTCTTTGATTCTTATCAGTAAGGACTTCAAGTCCTCTTTACTTTCAGCAAGCAAGGTTGTGTCATCTGCATATTGCTTCTGTAATTCTCATGTCCCTTTCTTTTTCATGTAGTCCAGTTTCTCAGATTATTTGCTCAGCATATGGATCGAATAAGTATGGTGAAATCATACAACCCTGATGCACACCTTTCCTGATTTTAAACCACGCACTATTCTCTTGTTCTGTTGGAATAACTTGTTTTTGTTCTATGTTCATGTTCCTCAATTAACTGTTCTGGAATTCCCATTCTTTGCAATGTTGTCCATAATTGGTTATGAACCACACAGTGGAATGCCTTTGCATAGTCAATAAAATGCAGATAAACATCTCTGCTTTTAGCCATGATCCATCTTATCAGCAGTGATATCCCTTGTCCCACATACTCTTCTGTATCCAGCTTGAATTTATGGCAGTTTCCTGTTGGTATACGCTGTAGCCGCTTTTGAATGATCTTCAGCAAGATTTTACTTGTGTGTGATATTAATGATGTTGTTCAATAATTTCTATATTTTGTTGGGTCACCTTTCTTTGGAACGGGTACAGATAGGGATCTCTTCTAATTGGCTGGCCAGGTAGTTGTCTTCTAATTTTCTTGGCATAGACGAGTGTTGCACCTGTTTGTTGGAGCATCTCAGTTTGTATTCTGACAATTCCTGAAGCTTTGTTTTTTGCCAGTGCCTTCAGTGCAGCTTGGACCTCATCCTTCAGTACCATAGGTTCTTGATTATATGCTGTCTCCTGAAATGGTTTAATATCGACTAATTCTTTTTAGTACAGTGAATCTGTGGATTCCTTCTATCTGGGTGTCCTATTAGAGAAATTAATAAAAGGAAAGATAGTTCTTATGTGGGAGACACTGGTATAAAGATCCTGCAAGAGAGAGAGAGAACATTTACACTGAGAGCAAGAATTAAGAGTAGGAGTTAGGTGAATGGGTAAGCAGGTGGAAAGAAATGGAACCGAGGCAAGAGACTGGTCCTTAGAGAAAACGTGATGATTTTCTGATTTATTGTTTGACCAATTATTATACAGTTAAAGAGAGTGTTCAGGAGTCCTACCAGGTTTCTAAGAAGCTTGGCGACTGCTGGTGTTATGGTCTGAGAGCAAAGAAAAATACAAAACTTGAGGGGCAAAACCAAATGTTACTTGCAAAATGTGTAAGAAAAATACTGTTTGATGACAAACATAATCTCGTAGTGTCATACCTTGTTTTAGTTCAGAAAAGGGAATAAGAGTAATCAGCATCAGCACAAAGCTGATTCCTAAGAGGTGGAGATCAGACATACCTCACCTCGCCAACATTTTTAACGGTTCTGACATCAGCTGTTTTTCCCACAGCATTCTGTAGTTCTCTGCTGGTTTCGATAATTCCTTGCAGTGGCCACACAGAACTCATGGACCATAATTATGATTATGGGGTTATTAGGGAAGTAATAAATTACAGTTCAGGATCAGGATTAATTTAGAGTTAACTGGATACAACTCAGAATACAGTTCATCAGTCAGGACAACTTGCATACTGTTCTCCTGGTTTCCTGTCTTCAGCCGCTGCTGCTCCTGCTGTACTGTCTCTAGCAGGGTCTTGGCGGTCTTCAGTGTTACAGCTCTCTTCTGGGTCTAGGAGGTTCTCAGCCCAGGGACCTTGAGTCCTAAGGATGTTCTCTGTTCCTGGCTCTTCTTTATGTTTGTGAGGTCCCCCTCAACCTCTGTTGGATTGACTCTTGTAAACCACCAGGATGCCAAAACCCATAATCTTGGTGTGGGCAACAGGTATTTTATTTACATAGTTGCTGTTCAATCCCTGTAAGAGTTTTACATACTTTATATACATAGTCCTGGTCAGTCATTCTGTGGGAGTTACAAGATCATGGCTAGAAAGATAAAAGCAGTTCACCGCACTGCAACTTATTATAATGCCATAAATGAGATCTGCATCATGCTTGGTATAGTAGAGGGTCAGCGAAGAAGAGGAAGACCCTCAACAACATGGATTGACACAGTGACTGCAACAATGGGTTCAAGCATAAGGGTCGTGAGGATAGTGCAGGAGCTGGCAAGGTTTCATTCTGTTGTACATAGGGTTGCTGTGAGTCAGATTTGACTTCGATGGCACCTAACACAACCACATAAATGAGTCGAAAATTTAAAAAACAAACCAAAGCATAACAGAAGGGTTTTAACTGCACATAATTAAAAGTCAATGAAAGATGAGTTCATTGACCAAACTTGAAAAATATGTTGTCCCTGAAAATTCACCTATGTTTAAATCTGATTGTGTGTGTTGATGTACAAGGGATCAAGTTACATAGCTGAACCCACAACCTCAGCCTTAGACTCCTAATTCCCTGGAGGAAATCAGATTCAGGTTTTGCAACCTGGCTAGGCCTGGATGCTTCTCCTGTGCTGGTAGGATTAAATTCCTCCGTCTGTGACCTTGTTGCCCCAAGAAAGAGGCCTGTGGAGCTGTATGAAAAATGCTCAAGTGTCTGCTCTGGAATGCTTTAACCTGTTTTGCTTTATATGCAGATACTCTCAGGGTGGAACATTGCCTTGATTCTGGGAGGAAGTCCTGCCCAGGGAAAGAAGTGAAATCTAAAAACTGTCACTCTAACCTTACTGTACTCTGTCTTCCCATCCTTCTTCCATTTCAGATACCAGGTGTGGTGTAGGGAGAAGTAGTCCAGTCCAGGCACCTTTGGATCATCTTACACATTCTTGCAGTCACAAGGATTTCAACTGCTCTGACAGGCTGTGTGAACCAAACATTTACGTCAAAACTGATGACTGGGGGCCCTGCTTCTATTCTCATCTTTTTTACTGAAGTGGTTTCTTGGGTTTAGAGAGGACATTCACTTAGAATTTCAGAAGCTGGAGCAAGGAAATGGTGAGTACCACAGAGAACTGAGGTATTCTTATCATAAGGGGGTGAGGCCTGATATGAACTGTTGGGGGACCGCTGTGTGCTCTGGGCCCTGTGTTTCCTCAGTGAGGTAAAAGGGTGGCAGAGGAGGCCAAGGGACTGGGTCCTAAGAGGCGTAAGACCCTGCTCCACTGTCACTGTACCCTAAGTCCTGGATGCCTGGGGTCACCTTCTTTAATGTCACTCGCGGAGCTGGCACCGTGTGGCATTACCATCCCCACCCTGGGCCCTGGTGCTCTGTATTAGTGACAGAATCTCCTGACCAAAGCCTGAAGACGGAGCAGCTCTGTCTGAGGAGGCTGAGCCCCAGGTCCTCTGTAGCCATCCTTGTCCCACCATTGCAAACTTGTTTTCATGGCTTCCACAGGAACTGCAGCCTTTTCTGTGCATTTCTAAAACTATAGCTCCACCTGTCACACTATGTGATGGGTAAAAAAGGGTGGAGAAAGTTAATAGGTGAAGGCCTTGACTCTGTTTATGGGGTCCTGGGTGGGGCTTTGTGCTCTCGTGAGGTCACCAAAATAATGACACTGGGGACGGTGATTCCAGCTCAGTCATGTGTGGGTTCTCCAGACCCATCCTTTTTTATAGCGGGGAATGCTTTTGCCTTAAGGGTCCCAGGTGTGTGAGAAGCATGATTCTCTAAGTCCTTGTCTTCCCATGTGTCTGTGCTTTGAGCTGCTATTAAATCCCTGTAATTTTCAACTGATCTCCACAGTCTTGAATTAGAATCTAAAATTAAAGTGTTCTTTCTTTTCTTTTTTTTTGCTGGAGAACCTCAATATACGGGATAGGTGTATTTAAGTTCTTTGGTTTATGTTTTCCATTGGGATAAAATTTCTAGATTGTGTATTTCTACTAAGAATTTTTCAATTGAGTGGATATAAGACTTCTTGAACAATGCCTGTTTTAACTGATGTAAAACTTTCTCTAAAGCTTACTTAAATCTTTAGAAGAATCTTACACTTATATGTAAGAAATCATGCCAGAAGTTCTAATGTGTTAAATAGTTTAGCCATTTTAGGAAGATTCTGCTGGCTGAGATAAACTGGACATACAGATGTTCACGTTCCTGGTCACTAGAGAATAAGCTCTAATTTACAGTATGATTTGCACAAATATATTAGACAATTTAATAGTAGGTACAAATGACTAATTTTAAATGGTTTTGTAGTTACAAATGAGAATCTCTAGTGAAAACATTAAATATTTTATTTGATTTATGTCATATTTAAAGGCATAATTTAGTTTACTTAAACTATGTTTTTGCACTAAATAATACTTTCAAAGCTCAAAATTCAGTGTGAACTTAATAAGGTATACTTTATGAATACTTTTTCCTACTCTTGTTCTCATCCAGCCTATTCCTTTTCCACCATCTTTGAATAGCCCACTTTATTACTTTCTGAAACATCTTGCCAATGCTTACGTAAAAGCAAGGAAATATAAATAGAAATTTTTATTTTCTCTACTTTATTCTACACAGAGTAGCATGTAATTTGTACCTGCTCTTTAACAAATTATCCTGGAGATCTTTTCGTAATATTTTTTGCTGTTGTTGCTGTCAAGTCGATTCCTACTCATGGCGACCCCAGGTGTTCAGAATAGAATGGCACACCATTGGGTTTTCAAGGTTGTGACCTTTGGGAAGTAGATTGCCATGCGTTACTTCAGTGGGTTTATACTGCCAGCCTTTGTTTAATAGTCCAGCCCTTAATCATTGTCACCACCCAGGATTCTTTGATAACAGAAACAATGCATAACAAACAAAAACCCTCCAAACCCGTAGCAGTTGAGTGGATTCCAAATCATGGTGACCCCATGTGTTACAGAGTAGAACTGAGTTCCATAGGGTTTTCTTAGCCTTAATCTTTAGGGAAGCAGAATGCCAGGACTTTCTTCCACAAGACCACTAGGTTAATTCAGACAGTCATTCTTTTGGTTAGTAGTCCAATGCAAACCATTTCTGCCACCCAGAGACCTTCTAAAAGTTATATACAGTGTTTAAATCTAAGTTCTTATAAAACTCCATAATGCTGGATACGCTTGATTTAAGTTTTGTTGTTGTTTTTAACCATATTGCCATGAAGGGGCACTATTATTTCCAATGTTTTGCTTTTACAAAGCTTTCTCTGTGAATATAAACATAAGTTTCTAAGATCCAGGAATCAAAAGTTTAGGTATTAAAGCTTTTGTGAACTTAAGAGAAGTTAAATGAAAATGAAAGGGTTTTCACATGACTTTGTAAAATTACACTTCTTTCAAGTTTTAAACAATGCTTTAAACATTCTATTATCAACTGTATCATAAACAAGGAGTTCAGAAAGTTTTCCTGTATAACCCATTGCCGTCGAGTTGATTCCGACATATAGCATGGTAATAGACCTTGGTCAGTTTTTATGGCCTCCCAGCGTATCCTCCCTGATCTCATCTTCTTCCTGCCTGGAGATTGTTCCTGTGATGTCTAGATGTTGATATGGTGGGATGGTGAATATCCAAAGGTGGTGATCTGAGGTCAAAGGTCCCAGGTCTTGAGATCATTCCTGGTTGATCCATCCTCAGTGGGTGCTCAGGAGCTGTGGCCACTCCTCCAATTGTCCAGCTCTTCGCCCATGCCAGCCCACTGCTTATCCCAAACTTCTGGAATTGGCAGGCCTGAGTCCCTGAGAGGAAGGGCAGGTCGGCTAATGGGGGTGGGGTTTTTTCATCTGCTGTGCTCTACCTTCCCAGTGTCTTCAAAGCAACATTTATGTCCTGTAAGCAGAAGGAAAAATCATTTCCACCTTTTGTGGCAAGGAGACTCTGTCCCCACTGTTGTCCTGTACTCCTTGACTTGGCCATTCTAGCGTGTTCTAGTGAACAGTGTTTGTCATTTCTCTGACTTCAGGTGTTGGTTATTGAGGTTTGATAAATTATATTTAGGTAAAAAGAGAATCTTTTTCAGGTTATTAGCGGGCCCATGCAGCTAATGTAAATAAATCTATGAGTGAATGAATTAATATAAATATAAGTTTATCACAAAGAAAAGTTTTACTTTCAATATGCAGAGTAATGAATCAGGATCCATGCCTTACATGAAAAACAATTCAGAATGGATCAAGGATCTAAATGTGAAAACAAAATCCATAAAATTCTTAGAAGAAAATATAGGGGTGGAACTGTGAAACCTAGTTTTTAACAGTGGATTACCAGAAAGGACAACAGAAGAACAAGCAGCAAAAGTCAGGGAAGATAAATGGGACCTCATAAAAGTTAAATACTTTGACTCATCAAAAGACTTTATCAGACTTCCGACAAAATGGCACTCTAGGCAGAAGTACCACGCCGTCCCTCCACAGCAAAGATCCGAAAAACTAAACCGAACAGAGAAAACAATCCTTAAACCCTAAAACATCAAATGAAGCGATAACTCAGCCAAGCACCAAATGGAGTAAGAAAACTGACAGAGAACGGAGAACAAGGAGAGATTTGTGCAGAGGTCCCCTATCAGCTAATGCAGCGTGGATCCACCATCTTGGACTCCTATCGGAGACCAGCAAATGGGGTACGAGAAAGCAGCTTCACGGAGCTTCCAGCAGGAGACAAAACAACCGGTAATTTGCGATATATGCTTTCCCACCCCCCACCCTTCTTCACCCCCCACTCGGCCGCCTCTGCTTCCCGCGGCCACAATCTCTTGTCTGGGAAGCACTGGCTGCTTGGATTCCACCCACCTGAATGGGCCGGCTCTCTGAGTGTCATTTGTTGGCTGCTGGTGTTGCTTTTTTCCACTTCTTTTGATTTCTTCCTTACCTCTCACCACCTCCCCCTCCTTTCGCTCAAATACCTGGCTCCATGTGCCTTCTTTGCTTCTTCGCGAGGGGCTGCGGAGTTCCGGTAATTTGTGATATACGCTTTTCCACCCCCTACCCTTCTTCACTCACACTCGGCCTCTTCTGCTTCCCGCGGACACAGTCTCTTGTCCAGGAAACACCGGTTGCTTGGATTCCACCAGCCCGCACTAGCTGGCTCTCAGTGCCATTTGTTGGCTGCTGGTGTTACTTTTTTTCCTGCTTCTTTTGATTTCTTCCTTACCTCTCACCACCTCCCCCTCCTTTCACTCAAATACCTGGCTCTGTGCGCCATCTTTGCTTCTTCCTGAGGGGCTGCGGAGCTCCGTTCGAGCATGGAGCTGCTTCCCAGTCTGGGCTGCTGTGCTGGTGGGATCCTGGGGCTTTTGTTCGTTTGTTTGTTTTGAATTGTTTGTTTTCTTTTCCTTTTCTTGCGTTGGGAAACCGTTCTGGCCAGGCGGTGCTGTGTGGCTTGGAACCTACCCCCTCGGCTTGCACAGATGTGCAGAGGGATCCCTGAGGGCATTTCTTTTTTAGTTGGTTTTTTTTCTTTGTTTTTTGGGGGCTTTACGTGTTCTTTTTTTTTTTTAATTTGTTTTCTTTTCTCTCTTTTCTCCTTTTTGTCTTTCTTCATTACTCAGTTTCTCATCTATATCTTCCTTCTCTTTCTGTTCCCTGAATACCTGGCATTGTATACCTGTATGGCTTCTAGCGAGGCTGTACTGCAACACCTGAGAACAACTTCCACAGACCCCATAGCCGAACTGGTGGGATCCCTGGGAACTTTGCTGTACTTTTCCCTATCCGATTTTTATTTATTCATTCTTTTCTTCTTTTTTTCCCTTCCCCTTTTTGTTATTCTCCATTTCATAGTCTTTCATCTCTCCACTCCAATGGCAAGCTCCCCTAGCATTCTTTTTTGTTTGTATGTTTTTGGCTACTGTTCCTCTCTCCTCTCTCCCGTATCCATCTTAGCTTCACACATAACAATCTCCCCGCTACATCCTGCCTACCTGCACCGTGTGCTTAACAGCACACCACCAAGCAGCACAGGCACGGCCTACTGGAACCTGCCCTGCACTGATTACCGACCCCCCCGGTGGCTGTAGGAAGTGCCACAAACAACCTGTCCCA